GGTACAGAAGGGGGGTGTAGTATGCTGAGTGTGGGTACAGAAGGGGGGTGTCGTATGCTGAGTGTGGGTACAGGGGGGGTGTAGTATGCTGAGTGTGAGTACAGGGGTGTAACGAATCACCTGGCACCCCGACTGGGTACCTCCGTTGAAGGATGCTCCTAGCGCTTAAGAGGGCTCCAAGCGCTGCGCCAGACACCATAACCACCGCAGACCCCACTAACCGTCGCAGCGTGGTTGGGGTATCGCCGTCTCCTACCCACCGTGGACATACGACAAGGCTCCACGTTCCAGTGGGTGAACCTCTCCTCCAAAAGAGTGAAGCAGGAACAAGTTCTTAAAAGAGCTTAGCAGTGATTAGCTAAGGGAGTATGCAGAGCATAGCAATTCCCCCAATAAGCGACAAGACTCTAGATTGAGGGTGAAGTAGAACTCTGGTTTAATGACACACACTCTGCTTTTATGCAATTCTCCCATGCAAGGGCGACGCCCACGGACAATTATTCAATACCCAATCACACAATGGTTACATCCCACACATCTCCTCCCCTTAGCCTGAGAGGTAACCTAATTATCTGTACCTTTTAAAACATGCTTTTTACCCAACTTTCATAACTTTAAAACTATACATACAATATTAATATCAGCACATTCCAAATACAAACATACCCCAAAATCATTCAAATCTGTTCAGCCATTCGGGAGATAGGTATAAGTCACTTTTGACCTACCGTAAGCACATTTTCATGGCCAAAACAGTTCCATGGATTTGGGCTGTGCTGTCGGTCTATTTTACACCAAGAAAATGATTAAGTCCCATTGAACGAGCGTTCGAATCTTCGAACGGGACTTAATCTCCAGCCGCAGTGTCGAGGTAGAGTAGAAGGTACGGGTCAGGGGTGTTAGTGCAATTGGGTAGCCGAAAACAGTTCCATAGATTTGCTGCACACACCGCTGACCGCGTTCGAATTAGTTAAAAAGGCCGTCGCCACGTGTTCGGTATTCGAATGGCGGCCACTTTGACCACTTTGACTGCATCCGAAGTGCCAGTTTAAAAGGACAAATCCTTTCTCTGGGAATTAAAGGGCCAGAAATAGCAATATAAGCATCAAGTATGCCCAAATCAGTTCCTAGAAGGGCAATACATCGCCGGGCAGGAGGCTGGCAAACAGGCCCCTCCAAAAACCAGTGGCAAGGTTACTTTTGCCACAAGGGGGGTGTAGTATGCTGAGTGTGAGTGGGGGGGTGTAGTATGCTGAGTGTGAGTGGGGGGGTGTAGTATGCTGAGTGTGAGAACAGGGGGGGGGTGTAGTATGCTGAGTGTGAGTACAGAGGGGGGTGTAGTATGCTGAGTGAGTACAGAGGGAGACCCTAAAGGTCTGAGGTTCTGTGGGTTGGAATTTGTCAAAAGGGAAAATAGACGTGGTGATTACGACAAAGTCTTGAGACAGAGAGAATGTAGATGGATCCCAGTCGCAGGGTCTTAATGAAGGTTTTTTTTTTCTTCGCCCCATTCATCTAAAAGCCCCTGTTTGAATCAATGCATCACATTAATGTATGTGCTGCACATTGTGAAGCACTGACCCAGGAAGCACCTCTACAGACCATCTGAGTGACTGTCGCTTGAGGTTTTACCAGGCAGCAATGTAAACACTACTGTGATGAATTGCCCTTCGCCACTTTGTCCTGGAAAGGCCTGCTTGCCTGCCTCCTGCCCTGCGACTATGGCCCTGGGATGTATTTCCCTTCTAGGAACTGATGTAAGCATACTTGAGGCTTAAATTGCTGTTTCTGGCCCTTTAATGCCCACAGAAAGGATTTGTATTTTTAAACTGGCACTTCGGATGCAGTCGAAGTGGCCGCCAATCGAATACCGAACACGTGGCGGCGGCCATTTTAACTTATTCGAACGCGGTCAGCGGTGTGTGCAGCCAAATCTATGGAACTGTTTTCGGCTACCCAATTGCACAAACTCCGCTGACCCGTACGTTCTGCTCTACCTCGACACTGCGGCCGGAGACTAAGTCCCTTTTCGAAGATTCGAAACGCTCGTTCAAGTGGGACTAAGTCATCTTCTCAGTGTAAAATAGATCGACCACACAGTCCAAATCCATGGAACTGTTGTGGGCATGACAATGTGCCTGCAAAAGTCAAAAGTGACTTATATGTATCTCCTGAACGGATTCGAATGATTTTTGGCTATGTTTGTATTTGGAATGTGCTGATTAATAATGTGACTTTTATTAATATTGTATGTATAGTTTTAGAGTTGTGAAAGTTGGGTAAAAGAGTATGTTTTAAAAGGTATGGATAATTGGGTTACCTCTCGTAGCCTTGTCTCGTTATTGGAGGGAAATGTTACATCACACTGGGGATTGCTATGCTCTGCATACTCCACTGAGCTTTTAATCACTTAGCTCTTTTAAGAGCTTGTTCCTGGTACGCTCTCCTGGAGGAGAGGTCTTCCCCACACGTTCTGGA